GATGACGCACCCGAGACGAAAAGCCCACAGGTGCCTACCTCTGGTCCTAACAACGAACGTGTATGTATGCGCCGCAAATATTGAAACGCATTCTTCCGGTGGTAGTCGCATTTCCTACTTTGCAAATGGTCCACTTGGCCAAGTTAGATGGTGATGGTTGTGCACTACCCTCGTGATGCACCCGCCGCCCATGTTTGTAGGCAACATCGTGGCACCAGGCTTAAGCGACCGGCGCACAGTCTCGCGCGAAAGGGCGAAGCCGGAGATTGGACGCAAGTGGTCGAATCGGAAAATAAGACATATGGATTATATAGAAGCGCAATGTAGAGCTCATATACCTCGCGTGCGTCTAACGTGTCGCAACGTTGAACAGGGCGGGCGCCCCGCAGAATAGCGAGCACCTGGCACACGACGGGTCCCGCCGTCAGGCTCGCCAGCCACAGCGCACCGGGCTCCACGGAGATGCGCTCGTGATGTGCAGAGCCGGTGTAGAGTTATACATCATATATGTGCATATGAGGCGCCTTACAGCGATGTATGAGGATAGGCAACGTACAGCCTGGGCGGCGATCACAGTCCGCTCGAGGCTTGGTGGCACTGGAAACTGCTTTGTGATGTCTGAATAATCAGCACCGGGTCTCGACGTGCAAGGATTGCCATGTGGGGAAGGGCAGGATTCTGTGGCTTGCATCGGCCAACGTGCGGCCAGTGACTTGAGTGGGCCGACGAGTTTGATCGCGGTTTAATCGGACGTCGACGGGAGGCAAGCGTACGAATCGCAAGGGCGCCATTACATGGCCATGCTTCCGTCCCTTGTAGAGGCGGCATGGGGAATGCAGCCATAGTATAGGCGGAGGGATAGGCCGCAGCAAGCACCTCTTGGAAGGCTTTCATACATCACCCACCGTCGTCATACCTCGTTTCTTGTCTCATCCAGCCCCGAGTTGTGTCGGCCTGGCTGCGTGCTGCTTCTCTGCTCCCGTCGCGCGTGCTGACGCTCAATCCACCTCCCCACATACCCAACTCGCGCTTTGATATAGAGACTAGCGCCCCCACTGGACTCCAAGCAAGGGCCGTAACTATCCTGTGGAGAAGTCGGAGCTTACCATTTCCCCTTCTTCGGCCGGCGTTCCGATCCAAGCACACTACGTTTGGACGTCTCGACGCCTGATTCTGCCTGCGATGTTGTTTTGGGGCCTTGGGTGCAGGCGCATATGAAATATTTCTTCTTCTGATCTTGAAGTTTGGAACCTGATGTAAGACTGACTGCCTCGGCGCTACGCAACAGCTCCACGACGGCAGGCAGTCGTCGAGAACATGGCCGACTCCGGCGCAACCGCAACCTCCATAGCCACGCCCTCCCACGCGCGCTTCGACAACGACGACTCGCTCCTGCTGGCTGAATTCGGCTTGCCTGAACTTCGAGCCTCTCCGAATGCGACTGGGACTAGTCCGTCTAACATTATGGGCTCGTTTTCCGACTTCGACATGGGGTTTGCGCAGAGCCAAGGATTCGCGTCCAATTTCGACGGCATACAACCAAAGATTGAGGCTGGATATGCGGACCACAGAGGCAGCGTCGGCAACATGAGCGAAGAGGGTATGAGTGGTGGCGGGAGTGCGCATCCAAATCGGATGAGCATTGGAGGAAGCCCCGGCCGCGACGGAAACAACACCAGCCCCGAGAGCGCACCTGCCATGGGTATGCTCGCAATTGGCGAATCGATGAATGATGCTTCGGCGCATGCCATGAACAGCGGCAATGACGGCACAAACCATTCGACTACATCGCGAAGGAGCAAGGACGATGCGCAAGATCCGCCACTTTGGAGCGAGATGAAGACAAAGGCTGGTAAGGAGAGGAAACGACTGCCTCTCGCTTGCATCGCATGTCGAAGGAAGAAGATTCGCTGCTCAGGCGAAAAGCCAGCCTGCAAGCACTGCCTGCGGAGCCGGATACCGTGTGTCTACAAGGTCACCACTAGGAAGGCTGCACCGAGGACGGACTATATGGCGATGCTGGACAAGAGGCTCAAGCGCATGGAGGATCGTGTCATCAAGCTGATACCAAAGGAAAGCTTGCCTTCTGTTGCGAATGTGGGCAGATCCGTCGTTAAGCCCGCTATCCCCGGCGCCCCACCCAAAACACCCACCACGAAGAAACGCGCCGCAGAAGAAGCCTTTGGTAACGAGCTGGACGAATGGTCGAAAGCAAAAGGAGGAGATCCAGAAACCGCTGGGTCGACATCGCATGGGAAGGAATCAGACGAGAGCAAGCTTCTTACGGAAGGCGCGGAGAGCTTGCCGCCGAAAGAGATCCAAGAACACCTGGCTGAGGTGTATTTTGACTTTGTCTACGGGCAAAGCTACCCACTCCTGCACAAGCCGAGCTTTATGCGAAGACTAGCAGCTGGGAAGGTTCCGCCGGTACTGATACTAGCAATGTGCGCCATATCGGCACGATTCTCGAACCACCCGCAACTACGGACAGAGCCATGCTTCCTACGGGGCGACAGTTGGGCTGAACGAGCGCGCGAGATTGCCCTAAAACGATACGACGCACCGAATATCACCATCTTGATAGTCTACCTGCTGCTGGGGCTCCATGAGTTTGGCACATGTCAAGGCGGACGGAGTTGGATGTTTGGCGGTATGGCGCAGAGGATGGCATACGCACTACAACTGCACAAGGAGAACGAGTACGACCCACTGGTCAACGAGCCAGACAGGAAACCCCTGAGCGCTACGGATCGCGAAATACGGCGGCGGACCATGTGGTCTTGCTTCCTGATGGACCGTTTCAACTCCTCCGGTACCGACCGACCACTCTTCGTACACGAGCAGTACATCGAAGTGCAATTACCAGTCAAAGAGCACCTATACGTACACGAGATACACGCGCCCACCGAGAACTTAGAAGGCGACGTGCCAAACCCCGTTCCACCTGACAGCGGTCAACTGGCGAACCCGCGCGATAACATGGGCGTCTCGGCATACACCATACGATTAGTCTGCATATGGGGCAAGCTCATCAAGTACATGAACCTGGGAGGAAAGGAACGCGAGGCAGAGCCTATGTGGTCGGCCGATTCGACCTACAACGCGATCAAGAAAGAGGCGAAAGAGTTCAAGGCTGCATTGCCTGAGATGCTTGTCTATAATCCGGAGAACTTGAAGAGCCATGCGATAGGCAAGACTGCGAACTCGTTCTTGTATCTTCACATCTTATGGCAACAGATCATGCTGTTCATGCACCGGTTCGCGCTACCCTCGACTGCAGGCAGCAGACCACCGAAGGACATGCCACACGACTTTCTCACAGAGTCCGCCCGCTCCGCGCTCGATGCCGCGAACCAGATCTCGATGCTCATCAACGAAGCCATGGACCACAACGTTGTCGCGCCATTCGCCGGCTACTCCGCCTTCTTCTCCTCGACCGTACATGTCCATGGTGTGTTCTCGAAGAACCCGAAGCTGGAAGCGCAATCGAAGAAGTACCTGGCATACAACGTCAAATACCTGACAAAGATGAAGAAGTACTGGGGCATGTTCCACTACATTGCAGAAAACCTGAAGGAGCTGTACCGTCAGCACGCGGACGCGCAGCTGAAGGGCCCGAATGCGAGCGGCGAAAAGAAGAAGGGTAGCATATTTCAATATGGTGATTGGTTCGACAGATACCCGCACGGTGTTTCGAAAACAGACTACGAAGACGCCGCTGAGTCGAATCCGAACGAGCCAGGCACTGATGCAGTATTGGGACACAAGAGCGACCTGCAGAGTGTGGAAGAGTTCTTCGCATCGCTGTCTCCGCCGTCAAAAACCGATCAGCAACGCAAACAAGCGCGCAAGAACAAGTCGAAGTCGATCTCAAAACCTGCTGATCTCGCTTCGGCCAACCAACAAGATCTGCCACGCTTACAACGACACAACAGCCAATCTCAGCAAAACCATGCCGCTCGACTACAAGCGCAGCAGCAAATGAACATCAACATGGCCTCGCAAGACGCAATCGATGCCGCCATCGCCGCCGGCTACGACCCCGCTGCTCTCTTCGCCCAACAACAGCAACAACATGCTTCACCCCAACAATTCCTCGCCGACTTCGCAGGTTCCCACCACGCGCATCAACAGCACCCTCACCACCCATCGCTTCCCCTCATCAACACCTCACCAACGATGATTCACCCCTCACACGCCCACCAAATGGACCCCACGAACCTCTCTCCCTTCCCCGATCTAGCCACCGACTTCAACAACTCTTTCTGGAATCTCGAAGCCATGGGTCTGGGCAACAATGCCAACAACAACAATTTCTTCGATCCGATGAGCAGTTACTTCGTGCCGTTCAACGTGGAGCCGCCACCACAGCATAGTCTAGGCGACGACGGAGTATTCTCTGGGCAGGGCGCTGAGGCATACGGTTTCGCGCTGGGCGCGGGGACGCCTGTTGATTTGGATATGATGCATGGTGGGGGAGGGCCGAGGATGCATAGGGGGAGTGTTAGTGGGGGGAGGCCGAGTTTGGGGAGGAGGGGCACGGGATTGGAGTAAAAAAAAGTTTTTATGAGTTCGATTGGGCACAAAACGGTTGGCACGGGAAAACTAATGTGGTAATGAGTATTGGGTATATACCATTTAGCGGAGTTTATCGCAGAAGTGAGGGGTTGCGCATGGCGTTGGATGTACTGTCTACGTAGGGAAAATCGTAGTATTATCTTGCATGGGCCGTCTTCGCTGTACGTCCTGCGACCTTTGCCACCCAAAAGGGTTTTTGCGCAGCTTACTCCCACCAGACCACCAATCGTTCGTTAGGGATGAGCTCATCGGTATGTGGGCAGCTAGCCGTATCACTGGTTGGCCATGCATTGCATGAACGCCACCAGCTGCGTTGGCGCCTAAACTGATCTCAGCCGCAGTCCAACCTTTTCGCTTGGGCTACATCGAGTTGACTTCTACCACCTCGCTCCACGAGCGCAAAAACTGTTACCGAAAGAACAATGGAGGAGGACGACCTACCCGATCTTGAAATTGGGATCCGCTTAGCGGGAGACGACTGGCGCACTTCAAATCCAAACGTACGCCAAGCAATATCACCCATTCCTATCCCGAGCGACATTCTGCGGAAAAACGAGGCTCGCTCATTCGAAGGGGTCTATGAGGATGAGGAGCTACCTGATCTTACCACAGGAGATTCAGTGAGGGACGACATAACTCGCATACTCGTCCTGTTACCATCGGACGACTACAATGCACCACTTCGAGGCCAAAGAGAACGACTACGGTTGCCACCAGATGGACCGCTGAGCGCCGAGCGTCATAGTGGCCATATTGGAGGATACGATGCTGTCTCATACACATGGGGGACAAACGTCTATGGAGGCTCCATTTCCATAGATGGTGCTGAACTACCAATACCTCTAAATCTCGAGCTTGCTCTAAGGAGAATCCGGGACTTCGGACGTGTGCGTCTGATTTGGGCTGACGCCGTCTGCATCAACATGGCCGATTTGATCGAGCGAGGACATCAGATTCGAAACATTCGAAAGATCTTCCAATGTGCTGATACGGTGTTGGTGTGGTTAGGAGAAGAAATTACGAATCATCGAGGGTTGTTTCAGTTCGTGAGCCTCGTCGCAAGGACCAGTGACGTGGATGACCCAATATTTGGACATGCGGAAGACACACAGTGGCAAGCTTTGCAAGTTTTGTTGACGCACCCGTACTTCACACGTATGTGGGTTGTGCAAGAACTTGCTTTTGCGCATCATATCGACGTTCTTCAGGGCAATGATACACTCGAATGGGAATTGCTCCTGAAGGCGGTCCGTGCATCACGCACCAGATTCGCTGAGCGTAAAACCAAGCTGTCACTACATGTCGATAGTCGAGTCGATAAGGCCATTTCTTTCATACTCAACATCGACCTATGCTCTTGCATTAGTAAGAGTGGACACATAAGACTGCCCGCGCTCTCCTTGGAGGAGTTGGTGTTCAGATTTTCGGCCGCCGAAGCGTCGCATCCACTCGACAACATATACGGTTTGCTAGAAATAGCGATTGATGTTGACGCATGGAAATCGCACGGAGGATTTCCCGATTATGATAGATCATGGGAAGAAGTTCAAAGAACGTTTTATATGCTTTGCATAAGACACTCCGGGAGTCTAGATGTCATCTTCCGCCCGTGGAAATGGCTTCAACCATCACCATGGTTAATTCATCAGGCCGAGGGAAACGACCACACAGTTTCCTTAGTACAATCTCCGGGGCAAACGTCGCCATATAGCATTTTCGATGGCTGCCATCTGGACCCCAGGATGCGAGGGCTCACCATGATAACTGAGGACTTTATATCCACCCAAGGCTACCTCTTTGATGAAGTGGAGGCCATCACTGATGTTCATGACAATTTGAATATACCTTTCCCTAGATCGTGGCTGTCTGAGGATTTCATCAATGATGCACCAAAGTTCGCTCGTACGTTACTGGCCAGCGCTAAGGAATTAAAATTCGATCCAAGCCTCGATATCGTTCAATGCATTCGTCGCCTGGCGGAAGACTCCGAAAACAGAAAAGACAGATCTGCTCGGCCATCAGAACTTTGCAAGGCTTTCGAGGATCTGTATGCTTTGACAAAAGGTCGGAGATTATTCAGAAGTAGAAGGTGGTCGGTCAAGGGCCTTGGTCCTGCTCATATGAGGTCAGGTGACTGTGAGTGTACCCTCATCTTTCTACACATGTTATGCAACTGACAAGCCAGAAGTGATCTGCTTTACCCCACAATGCAGCGTTCCCGTTGTACTCCGCATGGTGGAGAACGAAGGCTGGCGATACCAAGTCATCGGAACATGCTATGTGTGCGAGTATATGTCGGGACAGATCTCAGATCTCTTGCTCGAAGAGAAACTGTCTGTCATCGAATTCGCGGTACCATTTGGAGCAGAAAAAGCAACTTCAAAAGCCGCTAGTACGGCTACGCACATTGTGAACAATGATTCCACGAAAGAGGTGCTGCATCTCGCGCGAGACTCCAGGGCGCACATCTCCAAAGCTTCCACAAACCCATCTATGGTTCGAGAGGTGGATGTACCGCAGTTAGCCCGGGGCTATCGTATGTACTGGATCTGTGTAAGTAAAGTTTCACGTAATCATCCTGGTGCAGGTTCCGGACGCAGCCGTGACATCACGGCATCTATGTGTTCTCGTGTCGTTCTCTCGATTCCCCAATTAGTATCGCACTATCACTACATTTGGTCAGTTAGTCGAGCGATGCTCATGTCGAAACTTTATTCCTTGGCTGTGAAGAATAGACATTTACAATAGTAGGCTATCGGAAGCATTGCTAATGACGATATAGACTTGTGGGTTCAAAGGACTCGGCCATTACATGGAGTCTAGGCCCGGTGCGATAAGAGAACTTGCCACAGAGCTTCAGAATGGAGGATACACAGTTACTCTGGAGCCCTACAATTCCTTCGATATCTGGAACAACTTCTTTGATATGGCTATATCGCGACTTCAAATGACGGTAGAAAACTTCTGGAAACAATACGTTACCGCCACACTCTATACACCATCAACAGCGATGCCAGTCATAAAGCCCGCCGATGGTCTCAGGAATACGTGCGTTTCTGTTCCGGACGGACCAAAGAAGACCCCAGCGCTTGTACCAAACACAGGTAGCAGTGGTAATCCGAGGAACTCGGCAAGCACATCTTCTGCGAAAAGCCAAGGTACTGCAAACCGAAGCACATTCCCATCTGGTACATTGGTGCCACCCCAAGCCGTCCCAGTCGCCTCGTCGCAAGTGACAGCAGCAACATCGTCGAACCCGTCAAACGTGACAATTCCTTCATCCGGCGATTTTATTCATGTTTGCTTCAAAGTGAAGAGGTACTTCAAGCTTCGCCATGACTTACTTCTAACCCAGGTCAGTAAAGATCGTGAGCTTTTTACCAACCTTCGCGAAGCGTATGCTGCAAACTTCTCGTGGGCTCACCGCAATCTGAGCATATGGACTGTCCAGAAGATCAACTATGTCAGGGTAAGAGACAGCTACTGTAGCGAAAGAAAGTTCTGACTCTGCGAGTAGTTCAATCAATGGGAGCGCAGCGAGGTTACAAATCTTCAGCGTGGCGTACCTCCAGAAAGCGAAAGGCATTATGCCTTGAAGCCTAATCCCCGAGGTTACGAGCCTGTGCTGGACAACGACCATCTCATGCATCGATTCACTTGTTCGACGAACGCGAGATGTTTGGATGGTAGCATAGGCTTCGAGCACATCCCTAAACGTATTGATCGTCCAGAACCCTGGAACCACGATGAGCATCCAGATCTTGGCATAGGCTGGGGGTTACAACTAGAGGAAGGATGTTTCCACCGCCTTTGTATAGTCGTTGTCGGCGGAGTCGTTGTGAGCGCTGTGATTGGAGTGATCTGGTCGGCTCTTACTAGAGACGTACAGAGTGGTTTCGTTGTTGCTAGCTGGCTACTCACCAGTGGGACTATTTTGGTAGCTACGATCCAGATACTAGTGACATTGCCGTCAATTTGAGAGACAGAGCAGGATGGCACTATCAGAACCAGACGTCACATACCTGCTTACGAAAGCCAGTATGATGTGTGCACCTCATAGAAGGAAAAAGCGAACAGGTCTGCAGCCTACATCAACATAGAAACCTGCAAAGTAGGTGCCCTAACGTCGATGTAGGCTCTACGCCTGTTCAGTTTTTTTTCCCTAGGTTGACGTGTGTGCTTACCATTGCAGTGTTATCATGATTGAAAGCGCTGACTTGATGTTCTCGATTACCAGACGTAACTCCCAAACCAACTTTCGCGCCGCCTGCCCCATTTCGGCCACTCCACTTCATCAACACCTCGACCCATCCACTTACCAACCATCGCAGCCACCTCCAAAATCCCCACCCCAGCCTCGGATCACAGGATCCGTCGCATATCCTACCAGGGCTCGAGTTTGAGGGACCAGGCATTTCATGTTTGAAGATCGACCGTGTCGTTTGGTGAAACGCTAGTGGCGACGGGCCTGCAACATCATGCAGCTGCGGGTGGATCACGGCAACTAGTATTCGCCTACGCTGATGCTGAACAGGATAATCGCGAGTGATTGGAAACCGATGATTTGAGTGTGTGGTTTTGCATGTTCGGATTCTACCGTGTTTGGTGCGACTTGTCATGCGCGCGGGGTGGAGTTACTCGTTTTGGTGCGGGCAGCAAGAACAACACCACGGTGCGATGGACGCCACGACAGAGCCTCACACATGAGTAACTCATCAATACTGCTCGTTACCTTCAGCATGGATTATTTTGACGTGAGTTGAGTATTCTGATAGGTCAATAATGTGATGGTGGTATTATGTGAAACATACATGCGTTTGCTTGTTTAGTGGGATTCTGCAACTCCAAAGACAGCGTTTCGCAAATCCACGATCTTGCATTGAGAGTTTCCGCCTTGGCGCCTTTAGCCTTCATCCCCAGGCGCAGACGAAACTGAGTATCGGAACGTTGACACCTCTCAGCGCCTGGATAATCGGCACTCCGCCACAGCCAAGTATGGGAGGGAAACGCCTCACTGCCGCCAAGCACGTTTAGCCTTGCCGGAAGACCTTCGAAAACGCATCTTGACACAAGAGCCTGCCTGTCTCCATACTGAATTGTACATGCCAATGACGAGCTGAGTGGAGCGGTGGGCGGCTGTCATCCCAATGGAGAATACGATGCGATGTAGATCGACAATGCCGCTCAATGGGAAAGAGGTATAAGATGCCTTGTTGAAGCCGGCTCTACAATCATCATCAACATTCAACTCTTCAACTCCTCTACTAATACTTCATTCTCCATTAGCCTGGTGCTTCTCGCTTTTCACCTTTACTTCAAACCACCCGTATCTTTTAATCCACCGAGTTGATCTCGATTTCAAATACACACATACAATATGCACTTCTCACCAGCTCTCGTCCTCGCCCTTGCGGCTGCCGTTTCTGCCCACGGTGTGGTCTCTGAGATCAAGGGTGCCAATGGAGTCACCATGCCTGGCTTGACTATCCAAGACGGAACTCCTCGCGACTGCTCCTCCAAGTAGGTCTCTCAACCTTGTATTCTTGAAACAGGTTACTAACCAATTTTCAGCGGCTGCGGTTCTCAAGCCGACACTGCCATCATCAGGGACCGCGAAATCTCCAGTGGCAAGACTGGTCCTCTTGGTCGCACACAAGGTAATGGCAACGTTGATGCTGCCGTTATGGTTGGTGCCTTCATGGGACAGGGTGCCGCGCCTCCTGCGAACAACGGTGCTTCTGGAAGTGTTGGTGTCGAAGACAACATCCAGCAGGCTGGCCAGAGGAAGCGTCAATTCCTCAGCGGTCTTCTTGGTGGAGGCGCTGGTGGTGCTGGAGGTGCTGGCGGCAAGGCCGGTGCTACTGGTATCGCTGGACTGCTCGGTGGAGGTGGTGACAAGGTCAACGGCCCACCAGAGTCACGCGTTGCTGCCGCAGTAGGAGCGGGTGCCACAAGCGGCATGCCCACTTGCGCTGACGATGGTACCGTCACAATGACTCTGCGCCAGGTAAGCGATCATTCCTACTCTTTTCCATACATTTCTAACTCATTCCTTTCAGATCAACCAGGACGGTGCTGGACCATTCACTGCCGACGTTGATGGTACCTCAGGCGGTACTGACGAGGCCGCTATGCAGCCTGCTACCGTCACCCAGGACGTTCCTGGCCTCGGTGTTCAGGGTATCTCGCTCGCCACCAACACCGAGTTTGCCATGAAGGTACAGATGCCGGCTGGTATGACTTGCGACGCTACTGTTGCTGGTGTCAACAACGTCTGCGTCATGCGCGTCCGCAACGGTGCTGCCGCGGGTCCCTTCGGCGGATCTGTTGCTTTCACACAGGGCGCCGCTGCCAGGAAGCGCGCCATCGCTTACAAGCTCAAGAAGCGCATGGAGATTGGTAACAAGAACTAAGGCGGATGTGATGAACACTCTACCTCAATGTTAATACATGGACTGGCTGGTTCAGCGCCAATGATCGATGATGGAGATCGGGTACATATGGATAATGAGTATTGTAGAGTATAACGAATCGCAATGAATGCTTCATACGAAAAGAAATCTGCGTCCTTCGTGCACACCTGGGTAAGTCGCTGTGAAGCAGCAAACACCTAGGTACTTTGCTGCAAGCTTGGATCCAGAACCACTGGCAAAAGAAGCATGATACCGCGTGGTTGCTGGCGTCGGGATTAGTGGATTTAAGGGTGGCGGTTTACCGGAAGAAGTGCCGCCAAGGTGAAGGATCGAAAACCCACTAAGCTAAGCCTAAGGTGGACCAAGCTTATCGCAACTGCTATTCTGCCCCCGCCACCCGGTTGTTATCCTACTCTGATGCCATCAATCAACACGGCAACAAACGGTCCAAAGTTGGGACGATATGTAGTCTTTCAGCTTTGGAGCGCTTCTGCTCATGGTCGCTTTTCGTCAGAATGCTACGAAACTACTCAGACCCTGTCATCGCGCAATCCACAGTAAAAATCGCAACATGCACCAAGCCATAGTACGCTATTATTCGTCACAGATCTACCGTTCCCACGCCAAGTAAAAACTAGGAAGTCGCTTATAACGGTGGTATGCCTAGTTCTATGCGTCTGTTTCTCTGACCACCATCTTCCGGTTCGACATGGCCCTCTTTGATTCGAAAGCTCCCGCCGAGCACCCGTCGCCCACGGCAAACTATAGCGACGATGACTTCCAACGAATGGACCCCAGTGGAGTCAAGCGAGGCCTCAAAACTCGTCATCTATCCATGATGGCGCTCGCTGGAATCATTGGACCTGGTATTCTGGTCGGTACTGGTGGCGCCCTCGCAGAGGGAGGACCGGCATCTCTGCTCATAGCTTTCAGCGTTATCGGATTCATCGCTTTCAGCATTACGCAATCCTTGGGAGAAATGACAACACTGTATCCTACTGGTGGTGCTTTCGTCACGCTTTCCGACCGATTTGTCGACAAAGCATTTGGAGTAGCGGTGGGATGGCAGTACTGGCTGGTGTGGGCATGCGTGCTAGCCAACGAGTACAATGTCATCTCCTCTATTCTGGTCTTTTGGGGTCCTGAGGTGCCTCTATGGGGCTACTTTCTAATCTTCTGGTTTGCATTCCTAGGCTTCCAGATGTTGGGCGTCGAGTCTTTCGGCGAAGCGGAGTTCTGGCTTGCCCTGATCAAGCTTGCGGGTCTTTGCGCCTATTTCATCTTTGCCATCATCTATGCTTCTGGCGGTCTCATCGGGCAAGATGAGGCACTCGGATTTCGGTACTGGAACGACCCCGGTCCCTGGGTAGACGGCTTCCGTGGAGTAGCAACAGTCTTCGTTTTCGCTTCGACGTTTTACGCCGGCGTCGAAGCGGTTGCTGTGGCCGCTACAGAAACCAGAAACCCATCGGTAGCTGTACCTCTGGCAATTCGACAAGTCATTTGGCGAATTCTCTTCGTATACATCGGAGTTGCCTTCTTCTTTGGGCTCACATGCCCTTCGGATGCGGACGGCCTAGCGAACGGAGCCAGCCGCGCACTTAAGAGCCCTATGACCATAGCGATTCAAAACGCTGGATGGCAAGGAGGCGTGCATCTGATCAATGCGTTCATCTTCATCACAGTCCTGAGCGCTGCGAACAGCTCAATCTACATTGGGTCTCGAACGATACTCTTCATGGCACAAGAGAAAATGGCGCCGAAGTTCCTTGGGAGGACGAACAGCCGGGGAGTCCCAATCTACGCCATTGTTTTCACGAACCTGTTCGGTGCGATATCTATGATGAACGTCAGCACTGGAGGTGGCCAGGCGTATTCCTACATCGTCAATCTGAGCGGTGTCTCTACCTTCCTTGTTTGGGGTTCTATCTCTTTCACGCACATTCGCTTTCGAAAAGCTTGGAAAGCACAAGGTCGAACGCCCGACATGTTACCTTTCAAGTCGCTCGCCTACCCGTGGAATGCCTACTTTGGAGTATCAGCCAACATATTCCTCGCTCTGGTGCAGGGCTGGACCACGCTGAGCCCATTC